ATCTCAGGTACCTTCATATGATAACTAATTTTTATGATGAAAATCCATGACAGTTTGGTGATGAATGATAGAAGTACAACCCCATGGGTCATGCTACTTAATAATATCAAATGATATACTCATTAGTGAAAAAATACTTCAGTACTTGCCACCACTTTTATACTTAATGTCTTAATTCCATCAGGGGTAAATGAAGTCATTCCTCTAGTTTTTATATTTGTTCTAAAGAAAAAAAGGTGCACACGGTCTCCAGTCTAGTTAATGCATATAAAGTAATCACACCATTCCTTGCCCCATAGCTTGTACCTTCAGCAATGATCTGAACTCTTCTAGGATTTGTAGTCCTTGGATTGATTTCAATTCAAAACAAAGAAATAATAACAAATTATATGTTAATCAAAGGGTGGAGGTTATGGTAACTTACATGATTGGTGAGTATGGAATAGGGAAGGAGGCATGAATAGCTCTGCCTATTTCTCCCCACTTTCTTTCAAGAAGCTGCATACAGAGAATGGAAACACTCAATGATTCTCTGCATGCAGGGGAGGTATGGTGAGCCAGTATGGGCTGTTTCCAGGTGGCTACTTCTATTTCATCCTGGGCTTTAGTATTAGAGATCAATTCTAGGGGTTAGTTTTGGAAATGAATCCATGAAGTCCTCTTGCTCCTGGATATGTCATTCTCTGGTATAATCACAATCGGTAATAAAGTTAGGTAAGGTATATTCTGATCTCCAAATGCCAACTCCTTTGTTCTACTTCTTGACTGAACTCTAGGCATATAATGGTGGTGCTCATTTTTAGGCTCCTAAAATATCCATAACAAAATACTTGGATGTTTTTTGGATGTTCCCCAACAAAAGATGCCTGTTAGAGGGGTCCCATAGTAGGAAAGAAATGATTTCATTCTAGCAACCCCACTCTACTCTGTCACTTGCTGGAAGCAACTTGGGAAAAGTGTGGCCTTAGTATAAACACCACAGTGAATCCAAATGTGTGACAGCTGGAACTGTCAGTTAGTTGTCCTTCCCCAGTAGGTCCCTTTCTAGTTCTTTATCTCAATTGTTCTCCCGACTGCATGAAATTGTGTGTGTATTACATAGAGATGTACGTAGTCATACAGGTAACATTATACACACGTAATTTATCACATGTAGTATAGATTACAAGCATTTGATGCACTAAACATTTACGTACAAACTCTTAAGAGATAGATTAGGCCATATTGAGTCATACATATTGGGAAAAAATCTCCCATATACACATACAGAGATGTAGATCCAATTATTGATATGGCCATTTGCCAGTTTTATATAGAATTTATACGAGGAACAAAAGAGATAAATGTGAATGTGCTTTAATTAGCAGGCACTAAACACATGTTAATTATTATTATGACACATTTTTCATTACATCAGATGCCAACCTATTTCAGGTGTCTCTATCTAGCATACCCTAAATGTGTTTAGATATAAGTTAAAAATCAAAATAACTAAAGGGTGGTAGATATGATAAACGTTTGGTACAATCATTAAAATATATAAAGGTTGGTGCCACAAACCCAAGTTTATATATTGCAGCATCCAGCATCTCAAGAACTATTAGTCCCACAAGGTAGACCCTAGAAGAAAATAAGCCTGAGCTTACAGACCTAGAATAGGAACAAAGGAAGTTAATCCAAAAATAAATAAAATCAGGGAGGGCAGTGAGAAGTCCAGCACTGATTGAAAAACCCAACATTAATACTAAGTGATGTCTTTATTATTTTACAGGTAATTGTGGATTCTCCTTCTTTCTTCATCTTGTCCTTCAGCCATTTCTTTGCTCTTTAGCCCTTCTGAGACTTTGCAGAAGAAATTCCAGAAAGGTCTTTAATACAAGGTAACAGAAGCCTTTCATTCCACAATTAGAATTAAGCTTTTAAATGCAGATGCTGTGTTACACACAGGCAATCACATTAAAAAGACCACAACTGATACTGGAGCCTCTCTGGGCACAGCGGTGTTGCCTAGGCGAGGAGTGGAGATGGTCTATGAGCTGGGGAGAGGGATAGTGTGGAAGGGGTATATATTTGAGAAAACTGAGCTTCTGAAGATGGGAAGAAAGTGAAATCAGGAAGTGAGGAGCAGGCAAAAAGATATTTGTACACCCATGTTCATAGTAGCATTATTCACAATAGCTAAAAAGGGAAAGCAACCCACAGATGACTGGATAAACAAGATGTGATATATACATACAATGGAATATTACTCAGTCTTTACAAGGAAGGAAATTCTGATACATGCTACAAAATGAATGAACCTTGAAGACACTATTCTAAGTGAAATAAGCAAGTCACAAAAGGACAAATACAGCATGATTTCACTTATATGAACTATCTGGAGTAGTCAAATTTATAGACAGAAAAATTGCCAGGGTCTGAGGGTAGGAAGGCGTTACTGCCTAATGAGCACTGAGTTTCAGTTGTGCAAGATAAAGAGAGCTCTGTGAATGGATGGTGTCAACAGTTGCACAGTAATGTGAATGTGTTTAATACCAGTAAACTGTACACTTAAAACTGGTTAAGATGATAAACTTTGTTATTTGGATTTTACCACACCTAAAAACATATATTTTTAACTAAATTAAAAGAACTAGCTTTTTAAAAAAAGAGAAGGGAAGCAACTTTTCTACATTATAGCTTTGCCTAGGTTTTTTTCCTACGTCTGCCACCAAAGGGTTAAAAAGGAGCTCTTTTAAATACACTATTTTCTACTATTAACTATTCAAAACTGCAAATAGAGCAAAAAATAATAATGCTAGATCAGTTGAGATGGAAGGAAAATAATGTCATTAAAGCTGCATTAATATATAATGAGTTAAATTGAGAAAAAGGCTGATTACATTCTTAAAATGATTAAAGCCACATCCATTTATTGCCTTGAACATAGAAAATGCTTAAATTGAAGCATAAGTTTGATTTAATACGTCAATGACAGTGTCCTTTGAAGACTTTTTATAGTCAAAAGGAGCTTTTATGGGAGCAAAATGATTAAAAGAAGCAAAAAGCCAAGCACAAACCTCTCACTGAGTGGCTGATGGGAAAGCCGGCGGGTCTGCCATTCCAGGAACTCACCATTAAACAGAATTACTGAATGGTGTGCTGACAAATTCACCAAGCAAAGTACTGACCCTCCTAAGTGTCCAAGAACAATAAAGTTCTCGTCCCTGGTAATGTAAGGAAAACCACTAATACCTACAGCCCACTGGATTCACCCATTGAGATTAAAATGATATAAAGAGAGGACAGAAAAGACACCCAGAATTTTCATTAAACACAAGAAAGATATAATTGACAAATAAATATAAGTATTCAAAAAACTGCAACAAAGTAAGAAAGAAGGAAAATCCATGTTTGGATGAAGAAGGCCTTCTCCTTGAGATTTTTTTATGTAGATTTATAGTTTTCCCCAATTACCTTGCAGCAGTTAGATTTCAATGCTATTTTTACTTTTAACACTTGACAAAAAAAAATAAATTCCTGATAGGAAGATAAAAATTAATAACAATATAGATAAAGCAAAGATGACTGAGTGGGGGCAGGGGTAACTGCAGTGAGACTGTCTCTCACACCAGGGCATTCATGGCTAGAAAATATTTTTTCCACTTAATGATAATCTTCAACAGATACTGGGATCTCTGCCTGCTTTCATTTTCTTTTCCTCTGGCAAACTTCCATTTGCTCTGGCTTTTGCAACCCTAAAAATAAGCAAATTTGACTCAACAAAAACAAGTAATATTTTACAAATACAATCTGAAAATCAATCTAAGTTTTGGCTTGCTGTTTTTGAAACTGATGCTAATTTTAAGCAACAATTCAGAGAACCCCTAGAGATTTACATGAGCTCATCAGTAGCAAAATCATCTTTCAATAATTTTAAATGTTTTCCAGAGCAAGGAACTCTTTAAACTGCCAAATTTCTTAGCACATTCCACATGCCCACCTAATAGTCTTGCCATCCAAATGAGGGCAGAGCTGAAAATAAACTCACTCCGTGGCAAAATTAAAAGGTGAGATATTTGGCTCTCGATTCTCTGTGTTGAAATGACTGAAACATCTTAGAACTTAATTAGAGGCCCACAAATGAGGTCTTACTTTATCAATCACATAGAACAACAGTTAACGTTTTGTTGAGCTTAAAAAACAGAGGGGAAAAGTTTAAGGATCAAGAAGCCACCCTCATGCTGTGATAAACATCTGGTGGCTTCCCCCTACCTGCCAACAGGCAGATGAAGCAATTTGAATAGTAAAAGCTTTTAACTCAGGAAAGAATTACATTGAAAACCTTTGATACTGGTCAAAATGTGAGACACATAAAGCTGATACTCTGGGCACAGCTGAGAGTCCTGGACCCGCCTCTAAACCAGTCACCAGTCCTTTGGAAATGGAAGTAACATAAAGGGTGCGAGGGGGCCCAACCATGTGCCATCGTGGTTGAAACTGACTGCACCCTACAAGAGAATCTGCTCTGGGCTCCTAGCAACCCCAAAACCATAGTATAAAGGTTCAATTGAGAAAAGAAGCTCGAGACTCTACGTAACACATCCCCATCAGGGAAGGGCACTGGAACCCAGCGAGTTAAGAGATACATTCTAAGAACCCATGTCATCATATAAACAAGATATTAAACCTGATTTCTCTTCAATTTAATTCAACTATGTCCAATCACACAAAATTATGATTCTATAAACATGAAAAGCTTCCCTATGTTCGCTGTAAAGCTATTTTGCCTCAGTATTGAATAACTAAATTTATATGCCCTCCAAAATGCAAAAACTAAGGCATTATAAGGGTTCTCCTGTGGCCCCCAGGGACCATTAAAAGCACTTGAATATACAAAGAATCATAGAAAAATAAGGATCACATTTCATGGACAATAGCTTCTTCGCCTAGACAGAGACAACTATTTACTTCAGCCAATACTGGGTCTTTTACAAGGCAGTGTCAATTTTATTGCTTTCTGAAATAATGTGTAAAGTGTGAAACTTCACAATTTGCACATAAGCAAATTCCATTTTTAAATTTAAACATGTGGTGAGAAGAAGGACATGCATATAAATTTTTTTAATCACCATCATTTACAGTAGAAATTCCTTTATACAAACATCTTAGCTTTTTTCTTTAAAAAAAATTCAGCAACTGGTAAGAACCTTCTGAGACTGCAGAAAATTCAGCTTTCCATTTCAGCAGGCTTTCACTGAGAGATGTGAGTGATGGCAGATGAAGGCCTCTTGAGAATAGACTCAACAGAAAATGACAGCGGTTCATTCACCGAGAGTTTTGTTCCAACTTGTTTGGCTACAAAAAGGTCTTTTGCACATCTATCTATTGTAAATGTGTACTTCTGGTTCTCCTTGACTAAACACTCTCTGTGTTTCTTAGGGGCCTCTTCAAAGGCCTCTTTGACAAATGGTGTTTTCAACTCAGAACCTGATTTGTCATTAAGAGTTTGCTGGAATAATGAGTGGAATGGATTATGTTTAAGTGGCAGAGGGTGCCTGGTGCTTTCTTTGCTGATCTTGGTTAAGATGTGCCCTTGAGCTGCCAGGGAGTCCGTGTCAACAATCGGAGAGAAATTCCGTCGGGGTGGGGAGAATGCAGATCTCTCAGGGACAGCCTGGTGACCCTGAAGGTCACTGCTTAAGGTCTGGACCTCAGGGGTGTGAGGCAGCACCAGAGAGCCTTCCAGTTTCGGTGGCATCATGTCGTGCTCTGCAACGAGTCCATCCTGGACTTGTACTCCCTTCAAGTCCCAGCCGGCCCCAGGTTTCAGGGCTTGAACTGAGGTGGTGGCGTTTAGCAGGCACTGCTGGTAGAGGAGAGTGTCACTAATGGGGCCACACTTGGGCCAAACTAAAAATCTGGAGGACAAGGGATATTGTCTGTAAGTCGTGGCCACACTGACATTAGAAGAAATTAGTTCCATATTCCCAGACCCTGAATACTGCATGGTTAGATCAAGGCAGGTGGGCAAAAAATTACAGAAGTCTTTGTTTGGTGGTTCCCCTGGGGTGGGGCTGTAGGCACCTTTGTAGGAGTTGTATTCAGGTCCATGCACCATGCGGTTGGGCAGGAACAAGGCAGCAGCTTGGGAAGCTTCCAACATCTCCCTCTCTTTATATTCTCTCTCCAGCATAATGTTCTCCAACTCTTTATCAGCAAAGGCTCGCCTTTTCCTCATCCGGTCACTTACTGGGGGAGGTAGAGGTAAGCTCCCTCCCACATAAGTCTCTGCTGGAATGGGGCGGTAGCCTAGAATAAGCAAGCATTGCATATGAAAGAGATTAACATCTAGGGGGGAAAAAATCTGGAAATCCAGAAGGCAACAGAAACACTGCAAATTGGCAGAACAAGTGTTTATAGTTCTGTATCACTAATATTTTTATATAGAAAACAAAAGTATTGGTTCAATTTAAAATTGTTCCCTTTGGGGGAAAGATATCCGTGTTCTAACTTTTTGTTACTGTTGTTTTAGTACTTGTAAGTGTGTTTGTTTACTTTGACAAGTGTAACTGGCTAAAATTTTAATATACTTCCCAGGCTCCTACACATTAAGAATAAGGCTGCTAATCTTACTTCAATCAATAATTTATTACTATCCATGTCATCTTTTTTCCATTATTAAAAAAGATATCTATACCTAGAGCTGATGTCACTTTTATTTTCTAAAGATGGTTCATTATGTACACACTGTTACAGTTGAAGAATAATCCAAGGAGAACTAGGAAAAAAGAGAAAGTTAAAGCAGATTAGTGAGGAGAAAAACAGAAAAGACATAAGGAAACACAGAAAAGACATAAGGAAACTAGAAAGAGCTGTTAACTAGTCAAACAGATTCTGCCTGTGGTGAACACTGAACCAGGCCCCTACCCCTGACTACCAGTACAAACAGAAGTGCAGGCTGGTGCTGAGATACCCTGATATGTTGAAAATAACTTCTCTAATACATTTTTCCCAAGCACTAATCATGTTGGCCAGATACACAAATGGTTGAACAAGCAATCATTAGAACATAGATTAAGTCAATACAAATTTATGAAGTCAAAAACAAAAATTAGCATAACAATATAGACAGATTTCTTGGTGGTATAAAATACTTTCATCATCCCCAAGCACTCACCACTATCAAATTTGTTTGAATGATCCAATGTAATGTTTGTGTTTACATACTGACAAACTTATGCTCATTTGCAAATAAAATAAAATTTGAAAATTAATGTTTCCTTTTCTATGGTACATTTTTTCTCAGAAAGTTATTTACTCCAATTTACTATTGCATTTCCTCCTCCCACTTCTCAAATTGCATTGGCACAATTTCAATTTAGCAATGTAGGCCCTATGGTTATAAATCTGTTTACCCAGTTTGTAATCAAATTCACTTTTAATACATCAGAAACCATTCTAAGGTCAGAAGTACACTGCAGAGGGTAACACATGAACAAACTTTAAAGTCTGTCCAGACCAATTCAGTTCAGAAGTTACATAAGAAAAAACAAAATTCAAATGTCTATTTTAAAAATAAAAATCTGCTTTTCAACCCAAATCTTTGAAGCAGCAATTAGAGTAAATATAAAGTTTTCTTCTTCTTAAATAGTGAAAGGTAGTCAATGTATTATCAGGTTAATAATTAAATTCCATACCCAGAGATGATTTGAAAAATCAGTAGTGCTTTAAGAGAAATTAATGTATCCTCAGACTTTGAAGAAAGTGAAAACATGGAGAGGGTTAAAGATTTCACACTGCTCAAACTCAGCCTTCACTTTGCTTGTTTGATCCTACAATCTCAACTGTTAAACTGACAAAATAGTGTGTGGAAAAACCACAATTATAGATAATCCATGGAGGGAAATGATAAAATGAAAATAAGTGGGATTAGAGGTTGGATTGCCCAGACTAGAAGTGTTAGTTGATAGCTGTTAAACTCCTCACTTGACATACTCTACTTAGCTCCAACAACTAAATAAGTTTTTTAAATTTATTTCCTTCCAGGACATCTGCTCTGGGATCACTTGGCAGTGTATCTTTGTACATCCCTCACACTAGGGCAAATTTCATGTGCACTCCCTGCTAACCCATTAACTCTTAAGTAGACAACAAAATTATCTGTAACAAAAAGGGGAAGTATTCATTTTTCCCACATCCTGATTTCCTTCCTGGAGCAAAACCTTCTAACAAAAGGTACATTCCACTCAAATTGCTCCTTCACAGGTTAATAAAAATACCATATGCCAGAATGATGAGAATCACTCAGAACTTGGTTTTAAAAGCTAAAGGAATGATTTTATGTTGCTTTACCTTCTAAAATACTTTTGGCCAGCAAACTGGGTGCCCTGACTTGCCTCTGATACACGGCTTTGCGCTCGAAGTTATTCTGTTTCCCAGAAAGCCCCTTCTTGTCCTGTAAACACAAGAAACAATCAATAATGCCTTGAAAGAAAACGGGGGAGAAAAGCTAGAAGGAAAGGGTATCGGTAACTCTCCCCGGTCCAAATGTATTCATTTTTTCTATCCCATGTGAAAATTATTCCATGTGAATTAATATTAGCACTCCTTAATTCCAAGGCAACGAGCTAGCTCTGTCGGAGGCCACCAACTGGTGAGCAGGGCCCTGGCTCTCTCTAGGGTTGCTTTGCAAGTCACCCCAGACACGCCCAGCAGCCAGAACTGGGGGAACAACTTGGAGGAAGGAAATCCACCGTAGACAGTGGGTGCCGGTCCTGGGCCCTGAGAGAGAGCTGCGCTGCCGCGGCCGCTGCGCACCATATCGTCTGCGCCTGAAGGCGCCCATGGTGTGCTATTGGGCAATGACTCGCCGCTGGTTTCTCCCCACAATAGGACTAGTAAGGTGGGTGATGGGATTGGGGGATAGATATGAGGGTGCCTAGCTCTTAGACTCTTCTCTGTTCTGGCTGAAAACTCTGGATTGTTCCCTGGGCGACTGGAACTCAAGAAGGTGAACAAAACCCTCCCAAGCCACGAGGGACGCAGGATAAGGGTGCCTTGCTCCCGCAGTCACCGCCTGGTGGGTTGGTTTATGGGCCCTTCTGGCCTCATGTCCAGCCCAGGAGGTGCAAGAGGGAACGCAGGGTCCCAGGGTCCGTGGTGAAACGCACAAGACCCGAGAGGAGCCCAAGTGCGAACCCGGACTTGAGCCACCTGGGGCACCCAGCTCGCTCTCAAGGGCCTTGGTAGGCTTTCCATTAGGGTCATTATTTTCGGTGTGTACAGAGGTTCACTTTCCCAGCCCCTCCTGGCCAAAAAAGGAAAATGAAAAATCTTTCCCCTGCCCTGAGTGTGGAAGGGGGCCGCGCGTAGCCTCCCTCGCCCTCTCTCTCCCCCGGTGCAGGAACACATGGAAACATTAAGTCAGACGTTCAAGAAGCAGCACCTCTCCTTTAAAGAAAATCCTGGGTACTTCTCACAGCCGGGGGCCTCACGGTGGGGGGCGGCAGACACCCCCTCCAACCGTTTTTAAGGAAATTCTCCGGGCTAGGAGCTGCGGCTGCATGACCTTGAGCTGCGGACACCTAACTTCCCACGCCACTTCTGATCTCACCTGTAAAATGGGCACCACATTCAGCCTACAGTAAATAGCTCAGGACAGTGGAAGCAACCTGTGTTCTGCGTGGTCTGTTTCGCCATCAACAAGAGGACAGCACTGAGCATCGAGATGGGCGCCACACTCTAACCCTCCTCCTCCCAACACCACCGAAATAAATTTCAAAATATTAAAAAAGAAAGAAAAAATGCTATTCCCACTATATCCCGAGCAGGCCTAATGACTTCCAGGGCCTAAATGCTTTTTAACACAAAATCTTTTTACGAAGTGCTCAGCGAAGCTCAGGGCATCCTCCCTTCCGACCCTGCAGGCCGGCGTTGGGAGAAGTGTACTAACCATACTTCCGAGGAAGAGCCAGGCACCCCGAGGCCCTGAGCCCTCGTGTGCGGGGCGCAGCTTCGTCCCCTCCGGCTCCCCGACACCCACGGAGACTCGGACGCCCCGGCAGTACGCACCTCTGTGGCCTGCTGCCTCCGGAGCGCCACCTGGGCCGCCATGACGCGCTGCCGCTCCACCACCAGTAGGCAGTTGGCACACTGGCAGTCACGCCAGCGGCAGAAGCGTTTGTGACCTTTGAGGCAGGACACTACGCCATGGTTGCGGCAGCGCGCGCACTTCGGCGTGCGGCTCAGCTTGCGCGGCTCCGCGCCGCCGCCCGCGTGCACGCCGCGCTCCGGGTGCCCGGCGGGGGCTTGAGAGGCCTGCGGCGCTGGTGGCGGCCTCGGCTCGGTGAGCCCGTGCTGCTGTGGCCGACAGGACCTCCCTGGGGACGCGCCTGCTTCCTCGCCGTCGCCCTCGTCCTCCACGTCGTCGTCATCCTCATCCTCTTCGTCGTCATCCTCACCATCCTCCTCGGCCGGCGGCGGGCTGGGCCCAGGCGGCGTTGGCGGCGGCGCCCCGCGGCCGTCCTCCTCTAGCTCCAGGCTCTCCACGTCGATCTCCCAGTCCCCGGCCGCCGGGCCCGCCTGCCGGTCGGCCATGGCGCGTGGCGCTTCGCTCGGGCCCACGCTCAGTCTCCTGCAGTCTGGGAGACAGGAAAAAAAAAAAAAAAACAAACCCAAAACCCACCGCAGTGAGGCACTATCCCCAGGCCTTGGGCCCAGACCTCCCGGTCTGCCTGCCTCCAAGCCGATTGCGGAGCCCTGTTTTTTATCACTTCCTCACATCCAAGTCACACATGCCTGTCTTGTGTCTTTAGGGCCCCCAGGGATCCCAACCCAACAAGGTTTTTTATCTATTAATTTTAAGGTCTCTGAGCACCTGACCTTTAACCACATCCCTCTCTAGCTGTACACACGCTTTCGGGGTAGACCCTGCGTAAATGCACTGATCACACACACAGAGGCATTGTCTTCAAATAAGCCAGCTTAGGCCATTTGTCAGACTTCCCCGTACCCAACTGGTATGGCCATGATGAATATAAAAATAATTACTAAAAAAATCTTTATGGAAGAATTATTTTCCTTTGCTTCACAAGGGGCCCTTCAGAGAGGTACCGCCCTATGGCTCCCAAATGTCTCACATCCACCTACACCCTCACAAAGACCCCTCCGTAGGCTTGGAGAGGTACTCTCATCCCCTTTCCCACCCCAGCTAATAAGTGACTAATAACCAAGGTGTTGGGCTGGCATTACAGTCCCACAGGGACGCTGGGCAAAGAGATGCAAATGCCTTTCCAGCATCGACAACAGTGTTTGGGCTGAGCTGAGCCGCGCGGCTCTCTGCATATCGAGCATGGTTTGCACTTTAAGGCAAGATTTCCAAGAAAAACAGAAAAGATAAGGAAAGGTGATTCTCACCCTTTGCCCTCCCTGACCCCGGCAACATCACAGCACTCACCCAGACTCTGAAGCCCGGGCTAGCGGCCGAGGCAAAAGATATCCAGCCTTGGGACCTCGCTCTTGGACTGCTGGCTGTGTTGCAAACAGAAATCGGGGTCGCCACACCCTGCCACGAAACAGGGGGGGGCGGGGGAGGGGGGCGCTGAGAGCTGGAGGCCCGGAGCCCACTGGACGGGGAGTAGGGTAGAAAGGGGATGGAGAAGGTGAGTCAAGTCCTTACGGCCTCGCCCCACACATCCCGGTCTCTGCAAAAGATCGGTCCACAGCTGCCCCGGGCACTTCACCTCGCTGAAGCTACTTTCGGCTTCCTCTACCCCAGGCTGGGAAGGAAGGGTCGGGCCGCCCTGGCCTGCCTCAGACCGAGTGCTCTTTGGGCTGGCGAACGCACACAGCGACGTGAGACGCAGAGCTCCTAGCTGCAGTCTCCTGCCTCCGCTCCCTTTTCCTAGTATTATCCGTTCGGGCCCCCGAACTTCGCGCCCGCTGATTGGCCAGTTGTCAGGCGGTGTGCACGCTGATTGGTCGAGGCGCGCCGACCCTGAGCTTCACCGCCCCCCCTGCCCGGTCCCCGCCTGGCGGCAGCCACGCTCCTCCCAGCCGCGCTCCGTCAGAATGCTCCCGCGCCGCCTTCGGTGCAGCGGGGTAGCCGGTTCCGACGCTAAACCCGAAGCGTGACGGCGCCTGCGGAGGTGAAGTCGCCATTTATCTCCCCGACAAGGAAACAGACACACACTGTTAGGAATCGCGTTGCCCACAGGAGAAGGTAATAGACGGCACGGCAGAGATAGAAAGCTACTGTTGATCTCTCCGCTGTCAGCATCACCAGTATTTCTGCGACTCGATCTTTAACGCAGATTGGGCGCAAAAAAGAAGCGCCTCTAATCGGGTGCACGGCGGCATCTGTACTGTCTTCTGCAAGAGTAAATCAATAGTTACCTTGCACCGCAGCGCGGGGGTTAGCGGACAAATGACCTGTAGATATTTTTGTGACTAGCGCCTCTAGTCTTCGAAATACAAGTAGTTTCTCGTTAACTTTCGCCATGCCTGTGAGGCAGGCAGGTCCCCAAATTACCTGTGTCCGTTGCATTTTTTTCGCTTTCAAACAGTTGATTTGAAGTAGAACGGACACACTTGCTTTTAAGAGATTTAGGTGCAATACATTCACTCTAAGCGTGTTTTTAAACGAAGTTCTTTTTATAAAAAGATTATTATTTTAGTGTGCAAGAATTTATAAAGAAAAAAAGACCTACTGTCTGCCTCAAAAATCCTTACATAATCTTTAATAAAAGTTAAATTAACATGTTAAAAGGAATCAGTCCCCCAATTCAATGCTGCATTCTATTTCTTGAAGTAAATTTAAAATTTACTTAAACGCTTTTCTAGTTACACCTCTAAATAATACCGCTCAAGATCGGTTTAGGAGACAAATTAGGAAATTGAGTGCCATTGCACTGAGCACATAGTAGGCCCGCAATAAATATTTGTTAAAGGACGGAAATTGCTGAACTGAATCTAATGTTATTTTCTCGGGAACATCTCAGGAAGTTAGAAGTTAACCAAGCTCCGAGATTTGGAATATGGGAGCTTAAGGATTTCTGTGAATCTACCGCGAACTGTTAGGCACAGGTATTCTCGAACCTTTGACCAGGTTGGAAAGTCCTTTCCTCGTGACCAGGCACTGTGATTTCCCTTTGTGCGGGGACTTATCCCTAGAACCGCTTGCGATGGCCAGTGAAGGAAGTAGAGAAACAGTCCTGCTTATTCTTATGGGCAGCTCAGCAGCTCTGGGCATCTTGGAGGGTGACTTGGGAGCTGTGTATGCTCAGACAGGGGACAGGCGTCCCCTTGCTTGACACCACCAAATAACAGCAGTGAATTTTAATTTTGGTGTTGCTGCTTATACTTATAAAAGCGTATTTGTTCGTCTATGTTAGTTTAGATTCTTGACTGCAGAAGAATTATTTTCCCCGTTTTTCCAATGACGGGACTGAGGTTTAAAGAGGAGCCCTAGGTCAAGGCACTGGTCTTGGGGACAGTGGACTGGCGAGCAGCTTGGGTGTATGTATGTCAACCTCTGTTCTTAAGCTCTTAAGTCTCAGAAATTTTGTGGAGCTCTTCGCCCCCAGCCAGAAAGATTCACAATGGATTTCCTTTTTCTATTTTATTCCCCTGCACCCCTTCTCATTTTAGGATCTAACATTTTGAGCAGCCTTCCTTTAACAGGACACAGCACGTTTTGACCAACTCATTCTGGGTTGTTGTTTTTTGTCTCTGTGACTCCCCCTGCTAGCTACATTTCTGCCTTTGCAAACACAAGCTTCATGAAGTGTATGCAATCTACAGCCCACTCACCCACCTCCACCTGGAGAGGGGGGGCTGTGTATACTACTAAGTTTTTATTCATTGCTTGGGGGAGTCAGGAAATCATTAGCCTTTCACCGGCTATTATGAATATTAATAAACAAAATCAAGAAAGGTTTGTTAATTTGAGGTAACTAGATTGGGGAGAAGAGGGACCAAGAAGGAACAGGAGGGGAAAGGGGTGTGAGCAGCTGTTTACTAAAATAAACCAGATGGGCAGCCCTTGAGTTAGTTCGAGTTGAAAACGCTGCTATATAAAGAGGAAACAAGTGAGGTATGTGTACAGTAAACTACACCAGCTGAAGCCAAGCTGGAAGATGGGGGGTGGGGAGGCAGCGGGCACCCAAGGACAGTGGAGCAGGCTCCCGGGAGCAAACAAAGGGAGCGAGGCCCTCAGAACGCGGATCAGAGCCTGGCGGCTTCCCTGGAGCAGCATCCAACCAGAAGTGAAGAAAGTGGCTCCTGAGGGCTTCCTGGAGCTACTGGGCCCACGGGGATCTGGTAGGTAGGCCCAGGACAATTACCTCGCCAGCACGCTCCCCCGACCCCTAGCAAAAAAACGTATGCAACAGTCCCCCTGCTTCCTCCAGACTTCCCTACCTATCTCCCTACGACCTCCTCTCCCCACCTGTCTTACTCTCCCTGCACTCCATCTGCTGTACGTGTGGGCAAGGAGCTGTACCGGGTCCAGTTAAATTACACTCCATTCCCTGGCCCCGGACTCCCCCGGAAAATGACAGCCCCACCAACTGCTGAGAGGTGAGGTGTGGAAGCAGAGGGCTGGAGGGAGGGGGATTTGAGCTTAAGAAGTATAAGGAACTCCAATATTAAATAGGAAATTATCTGCATTTTTCTGGGAAAATTTAAAAGGAATCCAAAGTTGCACAAACTGGCTAGCAGATGAAATACTGAGGCAATAAGAGGCAGACAGCCTGGGCTCCAGGCTGGTTGATCCACTGATTAAGTGACCTTGGTCGATTATTTTTCTGTGCCTCAGTCCCCTCAAGTGCAAAATGGGAAGAGGGGCTTCCTTCGCCTACTGATGGTGAAGACACTAATAATGAGGATAGAGGGTCTTTCCATAATCTTCACACGGAGCTCGATAAACGTCTATTTATCCCAGAGGCGGCAGTGCCGTGCAGTTCCAAGAGGGCCCAGCCACCGAGTGCCTCACAGGTTGGAATGAAAGGCGAGAGCGCAGAGAATCCAGCTTCTTTCTCCAAATTCCAGTCTTAAAAGGAGTCAGGTCGTGGCTGAAGACCTGTTAGGTGAGGAAACAAATGCTTTTGGCTTGTAAACTGACACCAAATTACGAAGTGCAATTTGGAGCCCCTCTTGTAAATTACAAAGCAGTGGGGTAGCTGTTGACGCTGCCAGCCCGGTTGGTGGGGGCGGCGCGCGGGGTTTGCTTTTCTCCTAGCTGGCTGATGCGGAGCGCCCCCGCACCCACTTCCCTCTCCCTTTACCCCAAATCTCTCTCACCCTCACCCCTTCCTGTCCGCATGCAGCTAAGACCCACCTAGTGCGAAGCGTGCCTTCAGCGAGTCAAGCAAGGGAACCTGAAAAAAACGGAAAGGAAGGGGAGGGTTTTCTGTTTTCCTTCCTTTTTCTTGATGAGGGTGCTTTCTTTTTTTTAACTACAAAAAAAAAAAAAAAACCGCTCAAGAAAAGAGAGCGAGAGAAGTGTATTTTAAATTGGCTCCCGCTGGCCCATCCAATTCCTTGCTGTGAATCCTAGCTGGCAGGCCCCCTACCACTCCGCAGGCGCTCACTCCGTTACATGGTCCGAGATCCGACTCCAGGTCCTGTCATCCCTCGCCTGGTTCATTAAAACCTAGGTCGCCGGAGCTGATCGGACCTGAGCATTTCTCGGAGCCTTGGTTCAGCGCAGGCAGTGGGTTTAGAGGTAGAGAGCCCGGGTTTCGGATCGGACAAATGGGTTAAAATGCCGGCTTTGCAGCGAGGAGGATCTTTAACTTCCCTTTGCGCTTCACTTTCTTCAGTGGAATGAACCTTAAATAACGCTGTTAGACAGACCCCTGGCACGGTGACCGACCGTGCTGAACATTCAGTACTTGCGACCTATTGCTTGTATTAGTTTTATTATTATTTTAACTTGGTGAACTGACCTGCAGTGAGCCCACGCGGCTGGGGGAAATTCGAGGCCAGATTGCCGGCTTCTGCGGCCTCGAGATGTGGCTGGAAGGGTTGGAACCTTGCCCCTAACCGCCAGCCTGAGTCACCTCACTAACAACCTGCTGCACCACCTGGGGTGGTGAATGATTTTGCGAACTTGTGGGCAGTTCTGTAGAAGTGCTTTATTCTGGCCGGATTATGGGTCTGGTTTCTCCAGAGATGACCTCGCATCCACCTCCTCTCACGGAAAGCTACTTTTAACGTTGTATCGTCTCACAATTTTGACCGCCTGTGGACGCGGCGAAATAAATAATCCCAGATGGGATTGCAGAGACATGATTTCCCAATTGCTTTGCGTAATGAAATATACGACCTGTCACAAGCAATGGGGTGGGGGCAGCTTGCGAGAGATAACTGTTAGAATTCTCCCTTTTTCTGCTCTGAGTATCCAAAAAAAAAAAAAAGGAAAGAAAGAAAAGCTGAAGAAAAGGACAATGCGATCTGGGCGCACACCTCTGTTCCGTGGGAAGCAGGGTTTAAATCACGGGGATTTAAGACCGAAAGGGATGCACTTAGTGCACGCCGTTCTGTTCACAAATGGAGAGGAAAATTGAGGCTTAGAGAAGTTCCTGGGATCAACAGGGGCTGTGCGGGGCCAACGCGACCACAATGATATCAGGGCCCTTCAGTTGATAACGTCATCCTTTTTTTTTTTTTTTTTTAATGCCCTTTGCAGCGGGATCTGGAATCAGATGCTGGACTGTGAAACAATCGCGCAGCACTTAAAGAAGGATCTGCCTGGTCCACGCACCCGCCCATGGAGGAGATGATTTCCACCCTCCATGCTGGGAAACATGGCTCAATTCACTTGGGGGTCGTGTAGCAGCTAAGGAGATGAGGCAACCGCGGGCCTCCTTGACTTCTC